GCCCTGTATGTTTGAGATTGTGCATAGCTCTAATAAACCCAATTTAACTGTCTGATAAGTTGAACTTGATAACACGCTGAGGTCATCCAATCTGAACCCAAATATATAATATATATATTTTATATACTGTATATATATACATATATTTATACTGTATATAACATTGTATATTGGTGTATACCGTCCATGTTGTGAAGATATGTAATTTTTCTTTATATAAAATAAATCAGAAACAACCTATGGCTTGTTACCTACTTGAAGAAACGCCCCATTTTATAGTGGCACTGGATAACTCTCATAAAATAGGGTTTAGCAAAGAAAAAGCCATACCTGAAACCAAGCCTAACAGTGTGGAGCCTGTGCACCTGAACTGGACTAGTTGTACATTACAGTGACAAAAACCAGGAAATATTGGCTCTGTTCCTTGTTCAGAGCAAATGTTTCCCCTGGTCTAACCAACAAAAGAGACGATGCAACTTCAGATGTCGACAGACCTGAGCGTCTTCATCTCAAGCTGTGACTTAGATGGAGTTTCCACATGACAATACCTGAGCAGCTTTCTTTTGTTAGGAGACAATAAGTCCCAGTAAAAAACAGGTTCACATATGGAACATTTAGAAAAAATGCATTTTTCTCCTGAATACAGATCATTTTCACTTTGATGATACCGTATAGTTTATCACACTCGGAGTGGGTGGGAGAAAGAACTGGGTCGGCAGTCATGCATGGGTGCTGACAGGTGAGGAGAAAACAAATAAAGGCATGGAAGGGCCTGAGTGGGTGAAAGTTCCTGTAGGAAACAATGAAATGACTCTTTCTCTTAGTCTCTTGTTTCAACATCAGAAAAGATCCAGATGATGCAAAATCTTAAACTGAAAAAAGTTCAGCCCCTGATACTTGTAAAACTTTACATGTCAGTTCGTTACAAGGCTAGATTCTGAATCAGTATTAATTTAAATTTACTAAAGTGTCATTTTTACTTTGTATAGTATTTATGTTAAGAATGCACTTTTTTTTATCTAAATAGCAGTTTTGACAAATAAGTGAATATTACAACATGTTTTTTGAAGTGCAAGTTAAAAACTGAAGGAAATCAACTTATAGATATTAAAAGCAATAGATGGTCAAGATGAAACGAGGAAAGTGAATACATAGTTGAAAACAAAACAGAAGAAATGATTTGTAATCAAGAAGTTCCTGAGCAGATATTAGTATGGTAACACTGATAAAGTCGAAAAAACTTAAAGGCTACAAAAATACATCAAATGTCAAATGAATAACAGGCGTCATCCACAGGTCGTTATAGAGACAAGTGGCACTGATGTCTCCTGTCATTTCGATAGTGAATGTTTGACGTTTTTGAGATTAGTGTTTTTCTAGACTGGGATTAAACAGGGAATGCAGGTAAACCTTCATGTTTCTGGTGCAAGATATTCAAGTGTGTACAAGTTGTATAAGAACAGAGGATTTTTTTATTTATTTTTCTTGTCCAAGGCAGCGCAGAGTGCTGAGGGGAGGAAATTATTTTTTCCAACTCCAGGTGCAATGGCAGAGCTATGGGGTGGCCAAAGGTGGCCAAGGCCATTAATCTTCAGGCAACTCACTGGCCACCCCAACCATTTGTAGAAACTATACCTTTAAGCAAAAAAGAAGAAAAAACCTAGAAAGCAGTTTCCTCAAATGAGCAGGACTGCCAACTTACACACACACACACACACACGGTGGTGGCATCTTGGATTTTAACATGGCAACGCAGTTTTAATAGGACCTTGTCTATTTTTATTTATGTCATGTTTATTTATACAGTTAGTCTCATTGAGTCCTGAGGACTCATTTTCAAGAGAGAGCTGTTTTAGACAGAACTACAAACACATCACACCTGGCTACAGCAACACAACAAAAACAAAGTTGCTCATTTTTAAAGTTATCCATCTCACAAGGTTTACATACTGTATATATATAGTGGTGGCTAAGCCTGTCAAGATAAACAATAAATCAATTAATCGCATGATAAATGAAAATTATTGACCTCATTTTCAATTATCAGCTATATCGTTTCTTTTCTTCGTTTCTGCTCTCTTTTCTAAAAGCAGCTAAGCTGAGAAGCTAAGCTACGAGCTAAGCTAACAGGCCGACCTCGGGAAAAACTCTCCGTCTTGTCAAAGCTCCAAAATTCACGGTTGAAACCTGTGCCTTCATGTAAAAAGTTGTTGTTTTTTTCCTGCAAAAAGAAGCTGAGAACTTGTTTACTGATTTTGTTTTTATTATTATTATTAAAAGCTTTGTGTGAAAAATGCTATACTAAAAAGCGCAAACCACACCGAGCGTCCGCCATTTTGAAAATTGAAAACAAGGAAGGAGAGACAGCCCATGTCACGTCAAGGGGCCTTCCACCCATTTTTCTTAACGAGACACGCTGCTCGCTCCCTCACTAGCCATCCTTCTGTTCGAACAGTCTTATACTGTCATCCAGTGGTCAAAAAATGGTACTACACACAAAAATTAACTAACATTTCTTCTCAAGTTTGACAATATATTTGTCAAATTTCAAACAATATTATTGTTTATCGCAATAATTTCTGAGACAATTAATCACCCAGAAAAGTTTGTTATCGTGACAGGTCTAGTGGTTGCCATCTTGGATTTTGACCTGGCAACCCAATTTTTGAATGGAACTTTTTTTTTTGCAGCCACACACACAAAAGGATGTCAGTAACTCAATCTTTTATTTCTGGTTATCATGCACAAACGGATGAAAGATGGACAGACAGATGGACGGAGTGTATTTCCAATTTCCGTTTTGGTTCCAAGACGGTGGACAAATAAAATGTTGCAGAAGCTAAAACATTTTAAAGAAATAAAGCAAATAAAACTAGAGGCCATACTTTAAACAAATTTAAGGAAGATATTATGAGCGAAAAGAGGCAGTTTCATCTTTTAAACATTTTATGACAGCCTCAGAGGGTGCTTGTGTTACACTGACATCCATTTGTGTGTATTTCTTTACCATAGTGTGCCTGATTAAGTGTGTAGCATGAAACATGAATTTATTTATTAATACTGAAAATGTGGGTCTAGTCTTGAACTCTTACAGCACTGTGCAAGAGGTTTTAAACACTCCTTATTTCTCCACATTTTGCTTCTGAACAACCAAAGACTTCGGCTGCTTCTCTGCTCATATTTTCAGGTCAGGGATCATTTGCAGAGGAATGTTCGTTTGTTTTAGCCACTAAAACCAGTGTTGTGTAGACATACAACAGACAGCTTTTTAAAGAAACGACTGCAATGTGAATATATGTGGTGTTTTGATTTCTTTGCCAACCGTCTGATCTGTCTTGACACCGCACAATCAAAGGAGCTAGGATCGAGGTTTTTATTTGCTCGTCGTTTTCGTCATGTGACAGCATAATGAAAGGTGGTACTGACATTTTATTTTAAATCAGTTGCTGGTACATGGAAAGGCACTTTATTTTCATCCTGAAAATGAATGTTTCTGAACACAGATTAGTCTCTCTGCACATTTCTAAATAAAACAGACAAAAAAACGGAGCAGTACTCCAACACCCGGATGATGTAATCTGCCTCAAATGATTTTAATTACAGTCATTTTGGTTTTAGCATTTCACAGTGAAAACATTAGTTTGTGCTGCAGGGTGTATTTTTGAAGCTTGAAAACAAGTTTCAAGAAGAATCATCTGCTGTCGACTGGCTGTAGTTGGACACTTCGATGAGGTTGAGGTCAGGATCTCTAAAGTACAGCGAGGTGATGGGCCCCATGGCCCCGGTCCTTTCTACAGGGCCCTCTTCAATCTCAACGCCACAATCCTGCAGAGGAGAGGACAACTGACACTAAGCTTTCATTTCACCCACCTCTGATTTGTTTTCTGAATTATAAAAGTCCAGACGAGGTGAACTGAACACAGTTTTGCTCATAAATACCTTCAGATGAGCAGCCACTGAAGACAGGTGGGTTTTAGTGACGAGGCACAGATCTGCAGATCCTGCAGTTGGATGCTTGGCTTTTGGTTCAAACTCTTGGCCCAGCTGGTGAAGATTAAACTTCTGCTGACCGAAACTAAGAGCCTTACGGTTTCCCTGAAAATGCAAACAGGAACTCTATTAAAGCAAAACAAATCTTTAATATAGCAGATGCTGGATTATGGAGAGCCATTTCATTCAAAATTCAATAAATAAGTGTTATTTAAAAAATTATTAATAAATATTCCATTAAATAAATAACTGTTCCCATGAAATAAAACATTTAAATAGAAATGTTTAGTTTATTCCCAAGATTTTTTTTATTTTTATTTTGTGACACTTTTATTTTGTAAAGCTTCTTTACAAATTTCAGGGGCTTTTATTTTTCTAACCCCACTTTTCATTTTAAGCTCTTTTTTATTTCATGTTCTTATATTCAAATGCGGGTGCTGGGTGTTACAAAATGAAACTCCATTATTAAATTAATTAATCTTGAAAAAAAAATAAAAATCTTGAAATTAATAAAAAAATAAATCTTGGGGGGAAAAAACTAAACATTTCTATTTAAATGTTTTATTTCATGGGTACATTTATTTATTTAATGGAATATTTATTAATAATTTTTAAATAACACTACTTATTGAATTTTGAATGAAATGGCTCTCCACATTGAAGAAGTATTTTACCAGGTGGTTGACAATCAAAGCCTGCCATCTAGTGGTCAACTTTTATATTGCCACAGAAATAAAGCACTTCAATTACTGGTAATTTCTTAATGATTATAAACCAAAATCAGCATTAATCTTACTTTGCAATGAGCTTGAACGAGTTGACACTTACCCTAAAAGTAACAACTTCCATACCAAGAACTGAGGTGTAAAAGTTGATTGTGTCGGGGACACTTTTCACCGTCAGCACCAAATGATCGAGACGGCTCACTTCAACTGGACAGGCCGCTTCAGACCTGACCCCCAGTCTGGGCTGAATGAGAAAACCCTGCAAGACACAGAATGAATAATTACACGGTGAAACAGCGCCGCCCAGTGGTGAAACTGCGCTACATCATCCTTAATATGAGCCGCGTATCATTGAAACCAATGACGTAAATATGTCATTGATTTTACCATAAATACGGGTGTTGTAATTAGCAACATGAAGATCTGCGGAGATAAAGCACCTACTTTCGGTCCGCAGCAGAAAACTGGGCCACTTTGACCATCTTTTGTCAGCTTTCAAATATCGTGGCGAGGACACGGAAGTCACGCATACTTTACAACGTTCCGAGATGTTACATATATTTAACAAATATATATGCGTAAATACTAGTTAAAATTACATTTGAGTTGGTTTACCTTATAACAAGTTTTCTGAAAATGCGACAAACGACTACAAGCAGCCCGGAGCGCCATCCTTGAATTATCGGTATGGTGCGTTCAGGGTCTGTCGGTACTTTTTTTTTTATTATATATATATAAATAATAATAATAATAATTTTTATCTTTGGAAAGAATACGACTATACGAGTCATAACCTTTTTCTACAAAAAAAAAAAAGTAAAAATACTTCAAGGTTTTTTTCTCAAGGATATGTCTTTTACTAACTATAAATTGTACAAGCTGGGGTTTTTTCACCTTTTTTAATATTTAATATTGTTATTCTCAATTTGTATGCATCCTTTTATGGTTGTCTATTGTTTTTTTTGTCCACAGTTATCATCACTCTTTGTTAAAATCTGGTCTCTTTTGTAACAGTCCCAGATGCTCCATGGGATTAAACTGTATAAATAAAGGTTGAGTGAAGAATTCAGGAAGGCCCCCAAACACACCACCACTTTATCTACAACAGTGGGCAATTAAGGCCCGAGGGCCAAAAGTGGCCCTTGGACAATCTCTATCAGGCCCCCAATATCCTTCAGTTAAAAAAAAAAAAAAACGTTTTAAAGATTGATTTAAAAAAAAAAAAAAAAGCAGTATAGGAAATTTAAATTAAACATCTTACGTAAAACTTTAAAAAACATTTTTAAGTCACTGTATTTCCAGAACTAGACTGAACCTTTGAAATACAGATATATGCTTTAGCATAATTCCACTGACATGTATTACACATTAAGATTACATGTGTAATATATAAAGTATATATATAAATATATATATATATAATACATATATAGTATATATATATATAAAAATATTACATATACAATATTGTTATATATATTTATATATAATATATATAAAGTTTGAATGAATATAAAGTATAATCTTCATATAATATTCTATAATAGTTTTATCTTATATCCTTAAAGGATTTCGGAAAGACTAGTTTTAGAAAGCATGCCAACTATGATACAATAAGAAAAAGGTCTTCTAAATTATGTTATAAAGAACATTTATTTTCCACTTCTCTGTGTGGCCCTGTGATTACTTTAAACATCTTGATGTGGCTCTTTAGGGGAAAAAAAAATGCTGCCCACCTCTGATCTAGAAGTCGGTTCATTGTTTTGAATTTAATTACTACGACCCTTTATCAACACAAAAAAGTTCTACTTTATATCAGCTTATTTTAATATCACTTGAACTTGTTTTTACTGCAGACAATAAATGGATTTCTTTAAAGTGTATGCGAGAACCTTCGTAGAGCATACTGTGTGTGCTTCATCATTTGTTTAACCAGGCAAATCTCACAGATCTCTTTTGCAAGGGAGGCCTGGGTCTGAAGATGCACGTCGAGTACCTGAGCATGAATACGTAGAGAAAACCCACACAAACACGTGCAAACTCCACACAGAAAGACCCGAGGTCCAAACTGTGCAGAACCAGTGCTAACCACCAAACCATCGTGCTGCTCGTAATGTGTAATACAGAGCACAACTATGATCTAGCTTGTATTGGAACACTTCATATAGTTTTTTTTACAATAAAACGCACATTAAAAACAATAAGAAAAGTTTCAAACAAAGGCATTATGAACCCATAACGTTATCAAATACATGCCTCGGTTAAAAAAGCACAAATACAGAAAATATCTGTGATGAATGCATCACATAGCATAACAACTTGTTTAATTCAGCGGTTAGTTTCATTTAACACCCAGCTAACATCCTGCACTGGGTGGGTCACAGAACAAGGCCAAACCGAAGCTCGACCTCAGAGAAAAACACACAATTCATTTACATGTTTATGGTAATTAATAACGTCTTCGCGTTCAAATGTTTAAGTCCCACAAAAAAAAAAGAAGAAGTAATAATTGTTAAGACATTAAACAGTGAAACAAGTGTGAAACATGACAGGGTGGCATTCACTGCGATGCCCTTTTCTACCTTTAGCCAGCGTTCCTGTTCGTTAACATTTAAAAACCTTCATGACTTCCGAAAGAAACTGAACTTCCAACACATACTGAAAAGGGTAATCAACTTCATTTAGGTTTCCGCCATAAACATTTTAATGATATACACTTATATCAAGTTTTGTATTCCAATACTTGGAACGTTTGCACGTGAAGCACATCAGTCTGAGAAGTATTTGCTCATAAAGCAGTTAACGTCGTTCCACTGATCTTTACAGAATGAATTTATCCAAACATGATGTCTGAGTCTAAACTAGGACTGTTTAACTAATTAATAGAAAACTTGTACAATTTAGATGGACCTTCATTTTGAGAAGTTTTTTTTTTCATTAAAGCCAATTTTTAATCATTTCCTAAATCTAGTCAGCAACTAACAGCTGGCTAAAATAAACAGTGATTGTAGGATTATCATCATTACTGAGAATAATTAAAAGTTCTAAATATCAGGCCTTTTGACACAATACTTAAAATGAACATAACCAAAACTTTATAGAAGTCCAACATTTATTATCAATATGTACACTTCTGCAATTCTGATATTATTTTTGCATCATTTTTAATGTAAAAAAAAAAACAAACCAAAAAAAAGCACTAGACTTCCAAAAGTTGAAAAACTCGTTTAGTTTAGCTTATGCCAATACAAGACTTTCTCCTCAAGAACTCAATGCACAAATTGACTTACTGGTACAATGGCACTCTGTAATTGAGGGACGTTCTATGTGAATATTAGGGAAAAACAGATACTGTGAAGTGTGAACTAAAATTTGTGCAACGACCTTTGGACATCAAAGTCTAACGCAGCTCTGCTATGCACACACATACCACTTATTTGTAACCGATTTAAAGGAATCGCAGCCAGGATGAGCCAGATCTGCATGACGGGTCATTTACAATCCAAAACCAATTTACTGATACAAAGAAAGAGTTGCAATTATTTTTACAAGCATATTTACAGCTAATACTTTGAACTGGTGTTACTTAAAAACTGTGCCTCTAAGTTCAACTTAAAACATGTTGCAGGTGCTACTTGGGGTTTAAGACAAAAACAGATCTCTGAACTAGCTGGAAGGTGTGCAGCATCCATCAGTAAGAGCAGGCGGCGTTGCTTTCATTAATCGACAGCATGCTCTGCTTGATCTAAAGCAGCAGTGAAGATCGAACTAGAGAGAATATGTCTTGATGTCAAAAGATGAAGTACCCCGTATTAAACCTGTAATGTTACCATCATTAATGTAAAAACAAAACCAGCTGTGGAAACATCTGTTCAAAACATTTAATTTGAGTTTATTTCTTAGTTTGGGGGTGGGGCCTTGTCGTCTTTTAAAACTCATATGACACTCTCTCGGTTGGCTGACACTAGGACAGCTCTGCGGCAGATGGGACACGTGGAGTTTTCAGACAGCCAGCGGTCAATGCAGTGCACGTGGTATTCGTGGGAACAGGGAAGCTTGCGCAGTTTGTTGCCCTCAGCGTACTCCGTTATGCAGACGCTGCAGGTCTTCAAAGCGTCACTCTCCCCAAAGCTGCGCATGGAGAGGTTGTCGATCTGTTCTTTGGTCAGCCCCTGAGGCTGGTCGTCGTCGTCGTCGTTCAAAAGGAAGAAGTGAGCGAGTCGAAGGAAGGGCAATGAGCTGGGCTCCTCTAGGTTGATGGGGGGTCTGGGTCGAGCCCTGCCACCAGAACCCTGAGGCCCAGTGGCAAGGCCCTCGTCCGCTTCAGTCTCAACTGTCCTCCCCCTGACTCCGGCAGCCACCGGTTGTTCATCGACATCAGCAGCAGGGGCGTCCACGTTATTTGCCTCTGGATTGTTGAGGGTTTCCAAGTCTGCAGGCGTGCTGGTTCCACGGGTTGAATCTGAAGAATCCGAGTCTGAATCCATGAGGTAGCCTAGTTCACCAAAGCCTGTCATGATTTGCCTGATCATAGACTGCAGAGCCATGGAGGTTGCTTCTCCCAAACCTGCGTCTGAAATTCTTCGAATAGGGATTCGAATAGTGCTGACGTAGGTCCTCACACCAGCACGCTCAGAGCGCGAGAAGGTCCTGCGAAACCCACCACGCTCACTCTCGTAAAGAAATGTGTTGTTGGAGTTCTGGGAGCGCGACCGGGTCCGGCTGGCGATGCTGTCCCTTTGTCGATATTCGCCTGGCCGCACGCGACGCACCTGGAGATCGAGCATTATAGTTGGGGGACGTCGTCCTGCTGCACCTCCTTCAACCCCAGTAGACTCGCTTTCCTGAGATCCAACGGGCTGGCCCTCTGGTACCAGTTCGGCCTCAGCCCTGGGTGGCGGACCAAAATCACCGTCAACCAGATTTTGCCTTGAAAGTATATGTTGTCGAGTCCGAGAACTGCCCTCTACTTGAGGAACAGAGGGGGCATCTGTGGAAGAACTGGGGCTTATCGAGGTGTATGGATGTCGTGGATTAGGTAGACCATCAAGCTGATCCAAACTGAGTGGAGAGCGACTTCTGGCTAACCTGGCCCTAGTCCTGCGTGGTTCTGGGCTACGGCTGCGGGCTCGTCTTTGTCCTCTACGTGGAGAAGAACAAGGTGGAGCTTGTTCTGGCGGAGCTGCAGCTGGGCTGGGAGGTTCCCTCTCAACCTCTGGCAAAACAGCCTCTTCTAGCTCAGGTTCAGGTTCTGGTTCAGGTTCTGGTTCTGGTTCAGGTTCAGGTTCTGGTTCAGGTTCTGGTTCAGGTTCAGGTTCAGGTTCTGGCTCCACAATGACAGCAAGTTCTTCTACAACCTGTTCTTCCACTACGTCTGTCTCCATAGGTACTGGTGGTTCAGGATTTGCAACAACTTCTGGAGGAACTTCAGGGGACTGCTCAGCGGGCTCCTGCTCCCCTTCAGCAGCTGCTTGCTGTTCAGCCAGATTGCGGTTCACGCTTATCTCCAAACTGAAGCGAAAATCACCACTGTTTGGGTTGGTCTGGCTGACAGCCCGCCATGACTGGTTTCCACGATGACCAGTTCTGGTTGTGTTGCCGGTGCGGCGCACTGTGTTTAGCCAGTCCAAGAGGCTATCACCGCCAGGAGGGTCTTCAGAGCTCTCCGGTTGTTCTGGAAATTACAAAGATAAAAGGGGTCAATCTGCTTCTTCATTTGACTGCAACTCAACAGCCATACTCGTACGGTTAGGAAAATTATCCACCTACCAACTTGATCTTCCTGACTTTCAGTGCTTGGGTTATTATTCTGTTGCTCCGGACCATCTTTGATTTGTTGTAGTCTACTAAACAATTCATCTTCGGTCACCTCTCCTGGAAGAGATATTACAAAACCTTCCATTAGGACACTTCTTGGCAACAAAGTAACTGCAGATCATTTTTCACTCTCTTTCATTAGTGACCAGCTGTAAGACAAGACACTGCAGGTGGCACGGAGAAACAGACCATTTCCTACAATGAAAACAACAAAAAAATTAATTTAATGCATTAAAACAAAAAGAAGCTGGCTGGGACAGAATTAACACCAAATAAATACAAGTACATATGTGGAAGGTAAACTGATTGTGACAAGCATCAATGTTCAACTATTCTGTGAAATTAGTTTTCTTTAACGCCACCAACAGGACAATACTAAAAACCTCCACACTTACCAGGGCATGACATTGTCCGTTCACTACCCTCTCCTTGGTGCTCCACTAAAGGACACTCCAAAGATACATTCCCCCTCCCACTGTCCAGGGACAGAAACAAATTGAATGACCTCGATAATCCACAGGCAAGTGCATTTTGAGCATACTCACAAATGCAAGCATAGTGAATAAAATCAAGCAGGAAAACGTATCCAAAGTCAAAAAAGCACCTGTTAAATAATAATAATAATAAAAAACATAGACAAAGTGTTGTTCTAATTTACTCAAAGCAAAGTAGTGCAGCATTTTGCTTTTAAAAAAAAGCATGTTTTCTCATTATTGTAAACTGGTGTTGAATCACAAGTTTCCATAAATAGTCCAAAAGTGTTGGTGTGACACCAGTCCTAAAAGCAAAACATAAAATTTAATCAAATACTCTCAAACCAAATACAACTTACGCGACTCCATGTTCTGCAACAGTGTAATTAAAATGAGCTAGTAGTGTATCTACGTGCATTCGTTTTAATATTTGCTGCTGCCCTAAACAGCAATGTTGTATAATGATGTAATTCTTTTTGAACAACAAACTCTGAGCACAGTAGGGTCCTCCATCCTCCTCACACTCAACATAAAGCTGTTAATCTGGGGCAAACTGACAAGTTTCTATCAACTGAGTAAGTTGTTAATATGTGCATAAAATATCCACCTTGGCAGAAAATTAAAAAGTATAGTTTTAAAACCATCTCCATTAAAAAAGAATGCTCAAAATAATAAACGCAACAACTGAACCAATGTAGAAGCTAAACTTTCAGTTCAAAAACAAAATTTTTAAAAATTATATATCTGGACAAACCAGTTGGAACGTAATAAAAAAAAATACTGCAAGGTGTGAAATGCCACTTTTTTTAACATCTTTTATATTTTATAGTCCCATAATTATTTAAAAAACCATGATGTGCATCGACAATTTAACAAAAAGCCTCATCACCTGGATTTCCCAAAAGGTTGTTATCTCTCATGAGACGATAGTCCTCGTCACTGAGATTGTTGACAAACTGGTAGAAGGCTTCTTCTCTGTCCAGGCGATCCAGCTGCCTTCTGCGCTGTGACTCTGGCTGGTCACTGCCACCCTGCTCAACATTGTCAGACCCTTCCATTGATCTAGGAGGGAAGAAGGTTGTTCTACAAGATGCTCTCCAACTTTCAGTAAGATCCACTTGCTGCAAAAAAGAGAGAAAATTATCTAAGGATGCACATTAGAATATGATGAGAAGTGTGAAATGTCTTCAGCTACAGAACAGAAATCCAGTTTTTGTCTTGATGACTTGAGAAACTACACCAGCATAATGCACATTGGAAACCACATACAAATGACTTCTATGACATCCTTGGGCACTTCTGCAGAGCATGACACTTATTTAAATCTATACTTGACATCTACTTTCCCTATTGATGTGCATCAGACTTTTAGCTTCAGATCAAAATATATCCTGATGCACGCTCAATCATTCAGGTACACAAATTCACAAACGTCAAGTCAGGTCATCTGGATGGATTCTTCTTGGTTGAAACATTTTGTCTTTCAGACATTTCAGCTTTCAAAACTAGTTAAGAGCATTGAAAATGGGTCGTGGCTGGATCTTCCAGCATGACAATGACCTGAAGCACACAGCCAGGAGAACCAAGGAGTGGCTCCGTAAGAAGCACATCAAGGTTCTGGAGTGGCCTAGCCAGTGTCCAGACCTAAACCCTATAGAAAATCTTTGGAGGGAGCTCAAACTCTGTTTCTCTGCTGCAGTGTGTGCAAACCTGGTGAAAAACTACAGGAAATGTTTGACCTCTGTAACTGCAAACAAAGACTACTGTACCATATATTAACATTGATTTTCACAGGTGTTCAAATACTTATTTGCAGCAGTAACACACAAATTATTTTTTTAAAATCATACATTGTGATTTCTTTTTTTTTTTAGATTATGTCTCTCACAGTGGACATGCACCTAAGATGAAAATTTCAGACCCCTCCGTGATTTCTAAGTGGGAGAACTTGCAAAGTCACAGGGTGTTCAAATACTTATTTTCCTCATTGTATTTCTATCCTAAATTGGTGGGATTTTTTTGTAAAAAATTTAACACTTAAACAGATGAAAGTAAAACTCTGGCTAATAACCAGTACATTAGTGATATTTGGCATGCACTTTTGTCCCATTTAGTTATGCATTTCCAAAATGTTCACTAAAGAAATGATCCATTTCAACTGTAGGCAGTGGTGATGTGGCTCTAGAGAAGGAGTGATCATCAACCTGGCTTCCTCAGTCACATCTTGAAAATTTCTTGAACACCAAGTGGTCAGTAAGACCAAGAACGTTTCTATATAAATGCAGTCTATTTGTGACTTTCTGAAGCTACAGGCTCAATAAACAAAAGTAATAAGTGATGTAACTGGTCCCAGAAAAATGTTTAAAACATCTGAAATGCTGATTGCAAATAGGAAAAAAAATTATTCTGGATATATACTGTAAATTAATCTTTTAACCTAGGAAATTTATACTTTTGTATATTTGCTATGCATACAGTCTACCCATATATCTTATAATAAAAAAAAATTCAAGACAAAAACAACTGGACTTTATTTTTAACAGAAGACGTTTTGCTTCTCATCCGAGGAGCTTTCTCAAGTCAAAGAACAGGGAGTGTGGGGTTTGAGTTATAAAGTTGTGGTAAGATACATACATGCATACATACATACATGCATACATACATACATACATATGCAGACTGACCTATCACTCCTCAAAGTAGGGGTTCGTTAAAGTTATTGTTAATCTAATTCACAAATGGCCCACTCTGGTCACATGGATGACATCCCTGATAGGTGTGAAACTGGCTGGGTATCAGTCCTAACTAAAGCTGCATTAAAAGTTTTTGAAAGTTGAAATCTGAGACATCCTCAGATTTTAACTTTCAAAAACTTATAATGTAGCTATAAGACTGATACCCAGCTTTAACAAACCCCTACTGTGAGGTGTGATAGGTCAATCTGCATATGTATGTATGTACAGTTCCTTGCGAAAGTATTCGCCCCCCTTGAACTTTTCAACCTTTTGCCACATTTCAGGCTTCAAACATAAAGATATAAAATTTTAATTTTTTGTGAAGAATCAACAACAAGTGGGACACAATCGTGAAGTGGAATGAAATTTATTCGACGTATCAAACTTTTTTAACAAATAAAAAACTGAAAAGTGGGGCGAGCAATATTATTCGGCCCCTTTACTTTCAGTGCAGCAAACTCACTCCAGAAGTTCAGTGAGGATCTATGAATGATCCAATGTTGTCCCAAATGACTGATGATGATAAATAGAATTCACCTGTGTGTAATCAAGTCTCTGTATAAATGCACCTGCTCTGTGATAGTCTCAGGGTTCTGTTCAAAGCGCAGAGAGCATCATGAAGACCAAGGAACACACCAGGCAGGTCCGAGATACTGTTGTGGAGAAGTTTAAAGCTGGATTTGGATACAAAAAGATTTCCCAAGCTTTAAACAACCCAAGGAGCACTGTGCAACCAATCATATTGAAATGGAAGGAGTATCAGACCACTGCAAATCTACCAAGACCTGGCCGTCCCTCTAAACTTTCATCTGGAACAAGGAGAAGACTGATCAGAGATGCAGCCAAGAGGCCCATGATCACTCTGGATGAACTGCAGAGATCTACAGCTGAGGTGGGAGAGTCTGTCCATAGGACAACAATCAGTCGTACACTACACAAATCTGGCCTTTATGGAAGAGTGGCAAGAAGAAAGCCATTTCTCAAAGATATCCATAAAAAGTGTTGTTTAAAGTTGCCACAAGCACCTGGGAGACACACCAAACATGTGGAAGAAGGTGCTCTGGTCAGATGAAACCAAAATCGAACTGTTTGGCCACAATGCAAAACGATATGTTTGGCGTAAAAGCAACACAGCTCATCACCCTGAACACACCATCCCCACTGTCAAACATGGTGGTGGCAGCATCATGGTTTGGGCCTGCTTTTTGTCAGCAGGGACAGGGAAGATGGTCAGAATTGATGGGAAGATGGATGGGGCCAAATACAGGACCATTCTGGAAGAAAACCTGTTTGAGTCTGCAAGAGACCTGAGACTGGGACGGAGATTTATCTTCCAACAAGACAATGATCCAAAACATAAAGACAAATCTACAATGGAATGGTTCACAAATAAACGTATCCAGGTGTTGGAATGGCCAAGTCAAAGACTGCTGTTCACAAACGCTCTCCATCCAACCTCACTGAGCTCGAGCTGTTTTGCAAAGAAGAATGGGCAAGAATTTCAGTCTCTCCATGTGCAAAACTGAAAGAGACATACCCCAAGAGACTTGCAGCTGGAACTGCAGCAAAAGGTGGCGCTACAAAGTATTAATGCAAGGGGGCCGAATAATATTGCACGCCCCACTTTTCAGTTTTTTACTTGTTAAAAAACTTTGACACATCCAATAAATTTCATTCCACTTCACGATTGTGTCCCACTTGTTGTTGATTCTTCACAAAAAATTTAAATTTTATATCTTTATGTTTGAAGCCTGAAATGTGGCAAAAGGTTGAAAAGTTCAAGGGGGCCGAATACTTTCGCAAGGCACTGTATGCGTCTTACCTCAGCTTTACAACTCTAACTCCACCCTCCTTTGAATTTAGAAAGCTCTTCAGATGAGAAACGAATCATCTTATGTTACAAATAAAGTCCAGTTGTTTCTGTCTTGAACTTTTTTGAATTTACCATGTCCTGGATGACTGAGAATCTTCACCAGCATATCTTAAAATGTCCACTTGGACTCTAAGCAATTTTTAATATTACAGTCTCAAGTGCAGATAAAGTGCAATAACATTGTAACTAGCATGGGTGTATCTAAAAAAGTTAAATCTGGTCCTCTGGACACTAAAAAAACAAAACAAAGCAAAACAACAACAACAACAAAATGTAGAAACGTTTCGTCTCTCATCTGAAAGACTTCCTCAGTCTGAGGTGCTGTATTCAGCTCAGTCTCTTAAATAGCACCTTCTCAGAGTGGATCAACCAGTTTGCTGCTGACAACCAAAACCAGCTGATCACATGATCAAGAAGGACCATCAGCCTAACAATGGATCATTAGCACACTGATGGCTGTTTACTATTCACAGTGGGCTGAGTGATACTTGCAATCACAGCATTGTAAGAGGGGGACAGTTGAACCTGGAGGCCTCCACCCGTTTAATGATGGACAATTTATTTTCACAAAGATGGCCTCCTTTACTCCTCTCTCAAACCATCATTCCTCTCTGTCCAGGATGTGAACATCTTCATCCCTGAAAGAGTGACCGCTGGCCTGGAGATGAGTGTAGACCGCAGAGTCCTGGCCTGATGATGTTGATCTTCTGTGCTGGGCCATCCTTTTGGCCAGTGGCTGTTTTGTTTCCCCGATGTAAGACTAGTCACAGCCCTCCTGACACTGAACAGCATACACAACATTACTCTGTCTGTGCCGGGGGACTGGATCTTTGGGATGAACCAGTCTTTGCCGTAATGTATTTTGGGGTTTAAAAGCCACTGGGACGTTATGTTTAGAAAATAAACATCTCAGTTTCTCTGATACTCCCTCAACATATGGAATGACCACTGGTCTGGGTCTGGGTTCCTCCTTTTCACCTGTTGGCTGACTGGAGTCCTGTTTGGGTTTCTTCTCTGCTTTCAGGAAGGCCCAGTTAGGATATCCACATTGCTCTACGTTTCTACATTTTTTTGTTGTTGTTTTGCTTTGTTTTTTTGTATGTCCAGAGGACCAGATTTAACTTTTTTAGATTTTTTTTTTACCTGGATTACTGAGCATGCATCAGGATAGCATGGATGTATTTTAAATATATTTAACTCGAATCCTATCTAGTAAGACAGTCAAATTAACAGGGAAGAATACTATTATGCCTAAACAGTGATTGGAGGTAAAAACGTGTATGTAACTAGTCCATGCCACAAAATACTGTTAGTTCGCATTGCACTTACAACTGGTTAAATAAAGGCTAATAAATAATAAATTGCACTTACAACGCAGACAAGCTAACATGATATCAGCAACAAAAACAAGCTGAGTCACTCTGTAATTTCGCATTGTAAATTATTATCAAGACAAAATAATAAAAGTATATGCTTAACGCTTCTGAATAAAAACAAATGTCTGAAAGAAATCGAAAAGCAACATATTGGTCAAAGTCGAGTTAAAAACAAAATGGCATCGTATAGCTTAGCTTCTAGCAACCGACATTAGTTTAACGTAGTAACCGAAATCACTTACCAGTAGAAAAGAAAAACGAATATATTAAGGACAACTGACTAATCATATAAGACGTGACTGAGACCGGTACAGTTTGTATTGTCGCTTTGCAAAAAGCTCAACAGACGAACAACACAGCTATCAAAAGCGCAAAAGCTACAAGCTAACAACGTTCTGAAAGAATGGAGATGTTAGCTAACTTAGCCGCTTAACGTAGCAAAATACAATCTTGCCCAGCTTGAACATAAATTAAACGCATATGCTACTCTTTACATATTCGATATGTTATTGACGATATTAACTGAACTGTGAAGGTGTCTTAAAAAATACATTAGGCTATTAGCATCACCGCAGGCTAACTTAGCACACGACGTCAACCAGTGACGTACAGAGCAACGAGATCAAATTTAATGAGTAGTAAGTTTGAAATTAAACAAAGCCAACATGTTGTTTGTCACCATATAACTAATACTTTACCTGATCGGGGATGTAAGCACCAATATGACCAGACGAGACGACTGTTTTTTTCTAAGAAGTACAGCAAAAACGATCGATTTCACTAAGTACGATCTCAGGATTCCATTTTCTTTCTTGTAGGAAACCTGTAATGATTTACCGGAAATGGTCTTTTGGTTTATTAGCCCGCAGCTCCGCCTTCTAGGTAGACATATGTCTTGATGGCACAAATTGCGTGCAAGTGTAGATTTACTACTTTATTTACAAGTAGTAAACAAGACGGGGATACTTAAACGTGAGCAAAGTAAAGTAATAGATTAAGTTGTAAGCAATTTAACCACACCTTACAGTCTAACGCAATGAAACTTAAAATAAATAAATAAATAAATGGTTGCCTGAAATACTGTACTCAGGGCATAATTTAGCCCAATATAAGCGAAGAGATGTTTGTTTAAAGAACATGGCTGCTGTAAGGCAGCTGTAGCGCCACCGTGTGGTCAAACCTTAGACTGTATGAAGAAGCTAAAAAAGTACTACCTGTACTTTTATTAAATTTTCCTCACTTAATGATTATTGCTTTGTATAAATTGTGTTACTTTCTGTTTAAGTTGTTTTTGTCTCTTTATTAGTCACCTCTTTTGCAGGCCCACATTAATATGTTTATTTTTTTAGCGCTTCTTCCATAACTAAAGAGATGTGGACAAATATGTATAACTCCCTTCCCACATTTATAGCTACTACTGCTGACACCCCAAACTATGAACTAATGTTATAATTTAAAAGGCAATTAAATAAATAAATAAAAATAAAAACCACTGTGGCCTATATATAAAGTATCTTACAATATTATACTAAAATATATATTCTTAAATGTTCCTTTCCTCTAAGAATCTTACAAAATATGTTTTTGTAAACATTGTTTAAATGTCAATATAATGTTGACTTATTGGTTGATGCAAATTTGAAACACAGTCACACAATTTGAAATACTGTCAAACAGATTATTTTATGTTTTTCTTGGTTGGTTTTCCTTTAACTAGTAAAACTCTTCATCAAACATGTAGAAACATGGGAGGTTTAAAAGACTTTAAGGTTTTACTATATTGAGAGCAGTACAAAAAGCATTTTTAAGGAAAACGACCTAAAATGTGCCATAAAAATCGGTGTTTTAGATCCAAATGACCCATTATTAGCAAATAAAGTGGTATTTCAGATCTTTTGATGTGATGGTTTTGTAAACACAATATGAATAATGAGTATGGGCAGCGGGCAGCATGGTGGCGTAACTGGTAGAGCTGCTGCCTCTCAGCGAGCAGGTCCATGGTTCAAATCCCGGTCCGGGGGCCTTTCTGGGTGGAGTTCGCACGTTGTGTCCGTGCATGCGTGGGTTTTCTCCGGGTACTCCGCTTTCCTCTCACACACCGAAAACATGCATGTTAGACTGATTGATAACTCTAAATTGTTCCTAGAGTGAGACTATGAATGGTTGTTTGTCTCTATGTGTCCCTGTGATGGACTGGAGACCTGTCCAGGGTGTCCCTCACCTCTCACACAGTAATAGCTGGACATAATTCAATTCAATCCAAAAATACTTTATTAATCCCAGAGGGAAATTATTTGTTGTAGTAACTCGTTATCCTCATTTCATTAAGAGATGTTATAGATGCTGATGGCTGTAGACAGGAAGAATCTCTTGTAAAGGTCCATCCCACAGTGGATTCTAAGAAACTGGCTGCAGATGTCATCCGATCCGTCCACCCAGACTCTGCTGGCCTCTCGGTTCACCCGGGCTGTAGGGCCGCCCGAATGCCGGGCAGAACTCCTCCCAGAGCGATGGTCACTCCTCCCAGCAGTCTGCTGAGCTCCTCGTCGCTGCGGACAGACAGCTGTAGGTGCAGAGGGACGATCCTGTCCTTCCGCTGTCATGAGCCGTGTTTCCTGCTAGTTCCAGGATCTCAGCGGTCAGGTACCCGAGCACAGCTGGCAGGTAGATGAGAATGCGTCCACAGAACATCCTTTTCAACTCATTTGAGATTTGGGGCTGTAGTTGAGATATTATTTGAGCTTTTGAGATGTTAATCAGCTGCTGTCGGTTGTAGAAAACTGACTTGTTGCCATGGTTACGCATCATAACAAAAACTAAGCTCACTCCCGCGACCTGAAAAGGAAGAAGCGGGTAAAGATAATGTATGGATAGATTGATGGATAACGAGTATCTTACCTGTGATAGAACTATTTTGTATCAACCTAAGTTAGGTGAAATAGTGTTTGATTCTGTCTGGATTGATGAGCTAATGACTTGTTTGTGGGAGACCAAGACAAGATGGATTGCAACCATCTTAAAACAACTCCAGTCTCAACAGTTTCATGGCATTTTATGCAAGTTCAATTTCATACACTTTTACAGTGCTCTCAGTTTTGCATTGCATTGTTATTCTGACAGAATTATTATTATATTATATTATATTAAACATGATTATATATAATCTTGTTATTCTGGAGCATAATAATACTCCAGAAGTGGCACAGCTAGCTCCTGCTGTGACAATTTGAACTTGTAAATAAAAAATATCTGAGCTATGTGTCTTACACTGATGCCATCCTGCGAGGACGCTATTGTTCTTCTGAATCTTTTTTTTTTCCTCAAACATTTGTTCAAAGAGCTATCTACAACAGGTTAGATATTAATTGTTCATGAGTTTTCTGCAAAATCTCACACCAACTGATCCATTATTATTATTGTTATCATTATTTATTGTTTTAAACCTCATACATTTGATTTATAATCGATACTGTATATAGTATTAAATGCTGACGAATTTTATACCCAAAAAATCACTAGACAATCCCACTTCGATGATTGTCGTGGTTACATTATTTTATAATGTCTTGTTTTAATCTAATCACGATATAGTTGGACTTTTTAAACTAGATAAGTCAATTGGGGAAAAAAATTATTGTTTCCAATAATGATTAAAAAAATAAGTAAAATAAAACCCCTAAAGGGTCAAACAGCAGAAGGAGGACATAGACAAAAAAAGACAACTAGATAATCTCATACAAACCAATAGCATGAATATAAAAAAGATGGCTAAAACACGAGTATAAAGATAAAACAACAAAAGGTAAATATGAGAATAAATTCTTGTAAATCAAACCTGTCAACCAAATAACATGAAACAAAGTTTGTCAGGTCTTGATTTTGTTCATTACTTAGACATGTTAATTTCTTAAACAAAAATGTCACACCATTGTCTTCTAAGTGATAATTAAAACAACAAAGCATAAGCAGTTGTCTTAGTGACAGATATGCCTGTATCTGTCCACGCACTGACAAAACAAGCAGACTCTCATTTAATAACTCCAGGTGCGCCTGATCTCCTGATCTCTTGCATTAGACATTCCATCTTATAATTTGCCCGGCTCTCTTATCTGCTACGGGTGACTAAAGAACAAAAACAATGCTAATACCGACTGACAATTTCAGAGGCATACATCACAGGATGTGTTTATGGTGCAAGACTGCATCTCCAGCTCCAATTAAGCGTGCCAAAATGAGTTGCGGCGTGGACCACGGCCGCCCAGCTCAAAGTTATGGATGAGCAGTCACTCTAGAAAAACGCCTGACCCTGAGTGCTAATTAGATGTGACATTAAAAAAACACGAGCTACGGCAAGACTTGTAAAGGAATTAAAGTGACTTTCCTCTTGGAGTCTTCCAGGGTAACAAACATTGGCAGGCTAATTGGAAATATAAAGGTTGGTTTTACTTTTACACATTTCACAGCACAAACGTTCAGCAGAGCAGATTAGATTTATTTGTGTTACTATTATTATGATAAAACCACAGAAGATATAGGAACATTTCCTCGACTGGTCCCTTATCTCTAAAGAAATGTTTCTAACAGTGGCGATTTTAGCCTCTTTTTGGGAGTGTTCAAGCACCGCTAAATTTTAAGTCAGCACCCCTGAACAACAAAGTTTTCTAGTTATGAGTTTGGGTTTGGTGTATTGCGATTATGATTCAAAGCAACAAAACAAACAATTTTAAAAGCTAACAGATCATACTTAGTATTTAATTGCTGGATGTGCGGCCCCTGAGCTGCTGGCTTTCAGTAACTATGCCCCCCTGAGCAGTTTAGTTGAATAGTCCTGCTTTAGAGGACGTAATACAGTTTATTCCATTTCCAAAACCTGAACTGAATCTGGAAAAATGTAAGAGATGATAAAGCCCTGTGGCCGACATCATGAGCAGCTGAATACAACAGTTATAAACAGGAAGCACCACATGTTCATCTGTACGAAGGTAACTGCAAGTAAAGCCTCCATTTTCTGTCATAATGACATTGTATCAGTGGTGTACTCTACATTTTTCTAGGGATTATACCAAAGTAACGTTAGCTTTACGTTGGACGTTGGACACCGCTGAAGCCACAGAGCGCGAATGTCCAACGTAAAACTAACTTTACTGCGGTCAGACCGTATACTGTGCTTAGAAACCAAAGTGCACTGGTTAGTACAATGTAATCGTCATTTTATTTTGAATTTTAAACATATTGAACATTTCCAATTTTCTCTGATGCTTATATTTGAATAAATGAACAAGAAACTTTGTACAACTGTTAGCTTTGTATTAAAAACATGTTATAGAATTATAAAGCAGTATCAAAGCAAAACATGTTCAAGTGTTAAGTAGTAAGTACTGAAGTATTAATTATACAATAACTCGCTGGATAAGCAAATGTAATAAACAAGCTCTGCATACCGATAGATTGTTATTGAAGCGTTTAATTGCTGTTTAACGTATCAATGACTTGTGCCTGATGCTTTGGCCAATGGTGTTGTTTTAAAGTGCTTTATAAATAAAGTTGTATTGCATTGTATTGTTGGGCACTTTTAAGTGGGTATTCTGAAATTCTTAAGCTTTTCTAGTGGGTATACTACCCGCATATCACGTAGACTACACCACTGCATTGTAGCTTAATGGTTAAATTAAAGTTAATGCTTAAAGGTAGTTTTACTTTTGTGTGCGTTTTAAATGTAGATATATGTTTCAACTCCTGGTTGAATAAGTTTAGTCTTTGTTTGTTATAATCAGTTAACACTAAACTGATTTTGTACAAAGTGTTTATTAGGTTGTGTGATGTAAAGCAGAGCGCTACGTCTGTAGCATCTTAGCTAGCACATTTGTATTGCATGCCACTAGCTTAGCGCTACTTCTTGTTGTGCTGTGCTCTCCAAAATAGTTATTGAATCAAGTGTTTATGTATGTAGGTAAACATAATGCAGAAAATGTCTACTTTATTCAAACATTTCTGGGGAGGACCTGCCACCAGTGTCCCCACACATTACAAATGCTTCTGATGCCAGTGGCCACCACGTTGTTCAAGCCAAAGTCAACTGTCAGCACTGGGGGCTAAGCACCCCTAAAGGTCAGATTCTAGAATCGCCCTTGGCTCTTGGTTTCTAATCAGATATTTTTTCATTTTAAACTTTACTAATTATCGTTCATCACCATGAAATATGGGTGATCATGTAAATTACCTGTGGTTTTATTTCTATGTCTGTTAGCAAAATATTTCATAAACCACTGGATGTGTGTTAATGACATTTACAGAAGTTAGTTCCTGGTTGCACATCTACAACTGATTATCTTTTAGAGTTCACCCAATCCAAGATGGCCACCACAGCTAATCAGAGTTATGAGATACACAAATGGCTACAACTCAGCCACTTTTATAGTTGTTGAGCTAAAACTTGGTGTGGCAGTAGCTGAGAGTCATCCCCGATATATACTCTGAGCGCCATCAGATCACACTAAATCTTTAATTAAAACTTTGTCATGCAAACATGCATACATGCATACCAAAGAGACCATCTTAGCACCAATAAAACTGGTTTGTTCCACTTTGGAGTAAGCTGTTGGGGGAAGAATCAGTTTTGTTGTGTGTTTTCTTGACTGATGAAGCCTTCTGGATGGAAGGCGAAAAGTTTCAGCACAAAAAAAAAAGAAACTGTCCAGATGACCTGACTGAAAAATGTTGGTTTGTC